GAAATGTTTCCCAGCTAAGAAAAGCAAAATTTGAAAAAAATGAAGTCGAAACAACAACCTGTCAGGGAAGTCAGGGAGAAGCCAAAGGTAGCAGAAACAGGTGATGATGAAAATATGTTCAGGTGTCCAATCTAAGTATACTCTCACCTCTACCTTCTTCCATTGCCTAGTTTCTAAGAAATAGATAAAGAAATAGATATACCATATTTTTCGGAGTATAAGATGCACCGGAGTATTTATTTATTTATTTATTTATTTGCCGCCCTTCTCCGGAGACTCAGGGCGGCTTACAGTGCGTTAAGCAATAGCCTTCATTCTTTTGTATATTTATACAAAGTCAGCTTATTGCCCTCACAAACTGGGTCCTCATTTAACCTACCTTAGAAAGGATGGAAGGCTGAGCCAACCTTGAGCCTGGGGAGAATTGAACTCGCAGTAATTGCAGGCAGCTGGATGTTAAATGCTGCCTTAGTAGGAGGCATTAGCCTCCTACACCACTCAGGCTCCTTAGTATAAGACGCACCTTAGTTTTTGGGGAGGAAAATAAGAAAAAAGGTGATTGGCGGGTGGATTGGCCTCCTGGAATACCCCCAGTCAGCTGTTTCCAGAGGTGAATTTTAGCAACAGGTTCCTTGGTTGTGAGCTCTGTGCCTTGCTTTTTTTTTCTTCCTCTGAAACTTCTGAAACTCTGTTTCAGAAAAAAAAAAAATTTCCTGCCTCTGAAAGCCTCCAAAACAGCTTCAGAAAAAAAGCCTCGGAAACTCTGTTTGGGGGCTTCTTTTCTGAAGCTTCGTTTCTGTTGCTTTTTTCAGCCTCTGAAACCTCCCTTTGAGAAGCTGGGCGGGGCTACATTCAGAGTATAAGATGCACCCAAATTTTCACCCTCTTTTTTTTTGGGGGGGGGAAAGGTGCGTCTTATACTCCGAAAAATACGGTAGATGGAGACTTAAGAGAGGAGTGTGGGAGGCAAGTAAAAAAAAAAAAGCAATCAAAGTATTGAAGCGGGCAAGAGATGACGGGTAGATGATTTTCACCTTTATTGTTGTTCTGATTCGCCTTTCCTTTTTCCTCTTTTTTTTTTTTTAAGCATAGCAACCAAAGTATGAAGTGAGCAAGAGATGATGGATGGACGATTCCTCTTTTTTGTTGCTGCTCTGAGTTGCTTTTCCCTTTCTCCCTTTCTCTCTCTATTCTGTTATTTCCCCCACCTCTTTTTCTAGGCAGGTGACATGATTAGACGTTAGACAAGAAAGAAAGAAAAAGTTTCTTAGTAAAGGCATGACATGATTAAAAGCTAGAATAAGTGATAGAAATAAAGGGAGTATCAATGTATACATTTTTATTTGATAAAATGAATGTAATAACGAGAAATAGGTGGAATAATAGGTGGAATAATAATTACGATAGACTGTAACCTAATATAGATTATTAGAAATACGTAAATTGACTGAATGAAATAATAATGTTTAATCTGATCAGTTTCATATGTATTGGAATGCATGGCACCCAATCACACATTGATTTGACATTTTTATAAAAAAGAAAAAAAGAAAAAACTTTAAAAAAGAAAGAAAGAAAGAAAATATCTTCAGGTGGATGGTCTGTTAGGATATGGTTTGAGCCTAATAAGTTGTCCAGACAATATATGTGTTCTGTGACTTTAATATGAATATGTATTGTGTGACTTTAAAGTTTTACTGCTGATTCATTGTAATGCTGAGTCATGCTGTAATTAGATAATCACTGTTTGTAAACGTATTTAAGAAAGGTACTGTAAAGTATTCAGTTGATGATAAGCTACCATAGTGTGAGGAGTTGCTATCATTGTGCTATCATCGTTGGATGGATCTGCTACCATCGTGGTTTGTGAACCAGAGTGAGTTTGTTATTCTAACCAACTACTGTTTGTGTGGTAAGAAGATTTTTGTATCACTGGACTGATTTAACTGGCAAAGACTTGGATTGATTGATTGATTGATTGATTTATTAAATTTATATACCGCCCTATTCCTAAGGTACTCAGGGCGGTGAACAGCGAACGATAAAAATACATGTAATACAAACGTTAATAAAAAACCAATTAAATATACTAAACACTCTGGTCCTAGATAATTCAAGACATCCCAGTTTAAAATAAAATCAAAAAGCAATATAAAGGGAAAGTTAGGCCAGGCCGGCCTGCTGAAACAGGAATGTTTTGAGGGCACGGCGGAAAGTGCGCAGATCCGGAATCCTCTGTATCTCTGTGGGGAGCTCGTTCCAGATGGTGGGTGCCCTCACAGAAAAGGCTCTCCCCCTGGGGGCTGCCAGTCGACACTGTTTGGCTGACGGCACCCTGAGAAGCCCCTCTCTATGGGAGCGTACTGGGCGGTGAGAGGCTATTGGTGGCAGAAGGCGGTCTTGTAAGTACCCCGGTCCTAAGCCATGGAGTGCTCTAAAGGTGGTAACTAAGACCTTGGAGCGCACCCGGAAGACCACAGGGAGCCAGTGCAGCTCGCGCAGGAGGGGAGCCACATGGGAGCGCCATGCTGCTCCCATAACTACCCGCGCGGCCGCATTCTGGACCAGCTGGAGCCTCCGGGTGCTCTTCAAGGGGAGCCCCATGTAGAGAGCGTTGCAGTAGTCCAGGCGTGAAGTGACGAGGGCATGAGTGACCGTATTTAACGAGTCCCGATCCAGAAAGGGACGCAACTGGCGAATCAGGCGAACCTGATAAAAAGACCTCCCAGCCACAGCCGTCAAGTGTTCTTCTAAAGACAGCCGTGAGTCCAAGAGGACGCCTAAGTTGCGAACCCTCTCCGTGGGGAGCAATGACTCATCCCCAATAGTCAGTGATGGCACCAATTGACTATATCGGGACGTCGGAAACCACAGCCACTCGGTCTTGGATGGGTTGAGCCTGAGTCTGTTCCTCCCCATCCAGATCCGTACAGCCTCCAGGCACTGGGACATCACTTTAAGGGCATCATTGGGGTGGTCCGGGGTGGAGATGTATAGCTGAGTATCATCAGCATACTGATGATACTTCACCCCAAAACCACGGATGATCTCACCCAGCGGCTTCACATAAATGTTGAACAGAAGGGGTGAGAGAACCGACCCCTGTGGCACCCCACATACAAGGGGCCTCGGGGTCGACCTCTGCCCCCCTGTCAACAGAGACTGCGACCGATCAGAGAGAAAGGAGGAGAACCACCGCAACACAGTGCCCCCCACCCCTAACTCTTCCAACCGGTGCAGCATGATACCATGGTCGATGGTATCAAAAGCTGCTGAGACGTCTAATAGGACCAGGACAGAGGAACAACCCCTGTCCCGGGCCCTCCAGAGATCATCTACCAATGCGACCATTTAAAGACTATGAGATTGTTTTTTCACTATAAAGTAAACTTTTGATAAACCAGTTTGCACATCTCTTATTCATTGCTCTCAGCAACGTTTCTCTGTGCTCTACACTCTGCTGGTTGGTAACACAACAACAATATCCTTAACATGGTCCAATCATAAGGTTACCTTTGAAAAAAAAAATAGTGCAGAGGTGGGAGAACCAAGAAAGATGATGAGAATTTACGACGCTCATTTTTTGACTAAGAAGATGCTGATCGAATGTTAGAGAGGTCCTCATGAAAATGACCCAGCTTAGGGACAGATTGTTTTGGAGGACATCTAAGTTGCTAAGAGTCAACAACAACTTGATGGCAGGTCTATGGTGGTGATTCTCAGTCCTCGAGGTCATGGTTGTCCCAATGATGCTTTTTTCAAGAGGCAATTGGCCTTTCTTGTTTTTCTTTGAAGATGTTTTGCTTCTCGTCCAAGATGCTTCTACTTCTGAAGACCGAGTCAGAACTGAAGAAGCTTCTTCAGTTCTGACTCGATCTTCAGAAGTAGAAGCGTAGAAGCTTCTTGGATGAGAAGCAAAACGTCTTCAAGGAAAAACAAGGAAGACCAGTTGCCTCTTGGGACAACTTGATGGCATATCATCATCCTCATCGTCATCATTTAGGCAAGAAAAACAAAATGCACAGGTACAGTATAGGTGGTACCTTGCTCCATAGATCCCTGGGAGAGGGATCTTGGAATCCTAGTGGGCAACCATTTAAATATGAGCCAGCCGTGTGCAGCAGCTCCCAAAAAAGCCAACACAGTTCTAGGCTGCATAAAACAGAGGGATAGAATCAAAGACACGTGAAATGCTAATACCACTTTATAAGGCCTTGGTAAGGCCACACTTGGAATCCTGCATTCAGTTTTGGTCGCCACGATGTAAAAAAGATGTGGAGACTCTAGAAAGAGTGCAGAGAAGAGCAACCAAGAGGATTAGGGGACTGGAGGCTAAAACATATGAAGAACGGTTGCAGGAACTGGGTATGTCTACTTTGATGAAGAGAAGGACTAGGGGAGACATGATAGCAGTCTTCCAATATCTCAGGGGCTGCCCCAAAGAAGAGGGAGTCAAGCTATTCTCCAAAACCCCTGAGGGGAGGGCAAGAAGCAACGGGTGGGAACTCATCAAGGAGAGAAGCAACTGAGAACTAAGGAGAAATTTCCTGACAGTTAGAACAATTAATCAGCAGAAAACGTGCCTCCAGAAGTTGTGAATGCCCCAACACTGGAAGTTTTAAAGAAGAGATTGGATAACCATTTGTCTGAAGGGGTGTAGGGTTTCCTGCCTAAGCAGGGGGTTGGACTAGAAGACCTCCAAGGACCCTTCCAACTCTGTTATTCTATTCTATTCTATTCTATTCTATTCTATTCTATTCTATTCTATTCTATTCTATTCTATTCTATTTTCTATTCTATTCTATTCTCTATTCTATTCTATTCTATTCTATTCTATTCTATTCTATTCTATTCTATTCTATTATCATTGCCATCGTCAGCTACCCTTCTCTCATGGCGCGGGACCAAGCTCTCAACCAAAAACTTGCAAACACACACGTGGGAATCTTCCTCTAGTCTAGTCTAACTCCATCGCTTTTTCTCTCTCTCTCTCTCTCCAGGACAAGCCGCTTCAGAACCAGTCAACTTTTGCTCCTCAGCTCCATGTAAGAACGGAGGGACCTGCAGAGACCTGGAAGACAGCTACCAGTGCTTGTGCGCCCAGCACCCCGTAGCATATGTGGGAAGAGACTGTGAGTTGCTAGCCGAACCATGCGATGGACATCCTTGTCCACCTGAGTGGAGTTGCAGTGGGACACCTGGATACCTAAATTACACTTGCCACTGTGGATCAAGCTTGGCAGATGCCTCCTGCCGATCTCAAGGGGAAGAGTGCAAGGCGAACCCTTGTCCTCAGCCCGGTTTTGAGTGTGTCAGCCTCCAGGATGGGTACGGTTGTCACTGCCCGAGTGGAAACCATTGCTTACCGAGCTCTTCCATTTGTTCAAGTCAACTTTGCAACAACGGTAGCTGTCTCGAGAACGGCGGGACGTACATGTGCCAGTGCCCGGCTGGCCACACGGGTACCCACTGCGAGGAGGAGGTCGACGAGTGCGCCTCCAACCCCTGCCAGAACGGAGCCATCTGCCTCGACCGCGTCAACGAATACAGTTGCTTCTGCGTGCCTGGATTTCAGGGCTACCACTGCGAAATTGACATCAACGAATGCGCCTCCCGACCTTGTCAACACAACGGCACCTGCCTCAACGAGATAGACCATTACGTTTGCCAGTGTCTGCCCGGCTACACAGGTAACGGTGGACATCTCATCTCTCTCAGATTCTGGGAGGCGGCCTTCGGTGATTCGCCAGCCTCCCATCAATAATATACAGTTGCCATCCATCTCTTAATTTGTGATGACAGAATTGCAGGATAGCCGTGCTGGCGCGGTGGTTAGAATGCGGCATTGCAGGCTAACTCTGCCGACTGCCAGCAGTTTCTCACTGGTGGAAGGTTGACTCAGCCTTCCCTCCTTCCGAGGTCGGTAAAATGAGGACCAGAGATTGTTGGGGACAAGAGGCTGACTCTGTAAACCGCTTAGAGAGGGCTGGAAAGCACTATGGAGCAATATATGAGTGCTATTGCTGTCTGTCTGTCTATCCGTGTCTGTCTGTCTGTCTGTCTGTCTGTCTGTCTGTCTGTCTGTCTATCTATCTATCTATCTATCTATCTATCTATCTATCTATCTATCTATCTATCTATCAATCTGTCTAATCTCTATATCTATCTAAGAGCTGTGGTGGCTCATTGGTTAGAATGCAGTATTGCAGGCTAATTCAGCTCACTGCCAGAGGTTCGATCCTGACCGGCTCAAGGGTGACTCAGCCTTCCATCCTTCTGAGGTTGGTAGAATGAGGAGCCAGATTCTTGGGGACAACATGCTGACACTGTAAACCGCTTAGAGGGGGCTGTAGAGTACTATGAAGTGGTATATAAATCTAAGTGCTATTGCTATCTATCTCTATGTCTGTCTGTCCATCTGTCCGTCCATCCATTATCTATCTATCTATCTATCTATCTATCTATCTATCTATCTATCTATCTATCTCTATATCTATCTATCATCTCTATATCTATCTATCTAATATCTATCTAATCTATCTATCATCTATCTATTTATCTTCTCTCATTCCTATCTATCTATCTATCTATCTATCTATCTATCTATCTATCTATCATCTCTATATCTATCATCTCTATATCTATCTATCTAATATCTATCTTATCTATCATCTATCTATCTTCTCTCATTCCTATCTATCTATCTATCTATCTATCTATCTATCTATCTATCATCTCTATATCTATCTATCTATCTATCATCTTTCTATCTATCTATCTATCTATCTATCTATCTATCTATCTATCTATCATCTTTATATCTATCATCTCTATATGTATCTATCTATGTATCTATCTAACATCTATCTATCTATCATCTCTATATCTATCTATCCAACATCTATCTATCTATCTATCTATCTATCTATCTATCTATCTAACATCTATCTATCCTCCTATCTATCTATCTATCTATCTATCTATCTATCTATCTATCTATCCTCTATATCTAAGAGCTATGGTTAGAATGCAGTATTGCAGGCTAATTCTGCCGACTGTCAACAGTTCAACTCTCACCTGCTCAAGAGGGACTCAGACTTCCATCCTTCCAAGGTCGGTACCCAACAACCCAAGTTGTTGGGGCCAACTGGCTGACTCTGCAAAGTACTTAGACAGGGCTGTAAAGCACCGTGAAGTGGTATATAAGTCTAAGGGCTATTGCTATTTACTAGAGAAGAGAACAGTAAATGTTCAGGGCATCAAAACTGTCTCAAAAGATAATGATTATAGGAGAGTTAGGGCAGATATGCTCCAAGATGTTCTTCTATAGACCTTCAAAGCAGCCTTATGATAGTTGCTCGGTGTCAGACTTCGATGCTATCTCAAAATAAATGAATTTCCAAACTGCCAATCTTTAAGGAAATCTTTTCTTTAATTGAGCACAGCCACCGGATCATGACTCGATGCGGACAAGACTGACCTTTTGCCTCCCAATCCTTTCCTTTCCGATCCCCAAATCTCTGCTTCTCATTGGCTATCTTCCAAGTCATTCTTCAGACTTCTTGTCTCGTCATTTCCCAGGAATGTCTCCACCCTTCATTTCCATGACAACCCGATTTCAAAGGGATTTAGCAGGCAAAAGTTCAGAGCTTATCTCTCTCTCTCCTCTGATCTCTATGCCAGCATTGAAACGCTGACACTCGGCTTCTAGACACACTTCCTGGCTCTATAGCCGTATTTCTCAGCCATGGCAAGTTTAAGGTGCGTGGACTTCAACTCCCAGAATTCTTAAATTCTTAAACTCGCAAAGTTGAGAAACACCGCTCTGGACCGGTTGAGCTTTACTACTAAGATCAAACGTGAACACTGGGCGCTATCTAACAAAATGAAATTCAAGGGTGGAAAAAAGTAGGGTTCTACATTTAGGCAAGAAAAACAAAATGCACAGGTACAGTATAGGTGGGACCACACTCAACAGTAGTAACTCTGAGAGGGATCTTGTAGTCATTAAATAGGAGCCAGCCGTGTGCAGCAGCTGCCAAAAAAGCCAACACAGTTCTAGGCTGTATCAACAGAGGGATAGAATCAAGATCACGCAAAGGATTAAACCACTTTATAATGCCTTGGTAAGGCCACACTTGGAATATTGCATCCAGTTTTGGTCGCCACGATGTAAAAAAAGATGTTGAGACTCTAGAAAGAGCGCAGAGAAGAGCAACCAAGAGGATTAGGGGACTGGAGGATAAAACATATGAAAAATGGTTGCAGGAACTGGGTATGTCTAGTTTAATGAAAAGAAGGACTAGGGGAGACATGATAGCAGTCTTCCAAGATCTCAGGGGCTGCCCCAAAGAAGAGGCAGTCAAGCTATTCTCCAAGGCACTTGAGGTGGGCAGGACAAGAAGCAACGGGTGGAAACTCATCAAGGAGAGAAGCAACTTAGAACTCAGGAGAAATTTCCTGACAGTCAAAACAATTAATCAGTGGAACAGCTTGCCACCAGAAGTTGTGAATGTTCCAACACTGGAAGTTTTAAAGATGTTGGATAACCACTTGTCTGAAGTGGTGCAGAGTTTCCTGCCTAAGCAGGGGGTTGGACTAGAAGACCTCCAAGGTCCCTTCCCACTCTCTTATTCTATTTCTATTTCTAAACGGCACAATAATCTTAGTCCAGCCTTTGTCCCTCCGATGCAGGTGTCCAAAAAAAAAAAAAAGAAGAAAAAGGCTGAGTCCAAACTTTTCTCCTTTAGTTGCAACACAAGCAACTTTTCCTGGACCGAAACTGGCACTGACTCACGTGGGGGCCTTGCCAGCTCCCTGCTGAAGCAGCAGAAGCCATAAGGGTCTTATTTTTATGTATTTCTTTCTTTCTTTCTTTTTTTTGTGGCCTCTGGGTGGAATGTGGGCTGCAGGGTTTCCTCCTCCACCTGGTACCAGACGGCACGCAGGCAGCCTCTGGCCTCATTCCTTACATGGCCAGGAAGGAATGTGAGAGCGAAGGTTGACGGGGATTGAAGATTACCAGCTCAGTAGCAGCGCCAGCGGAATTGCAACACTGGATGCCCTTTTGGTGATTCTTGGCCGAGGAATTTCCACTCTTTTTAAGAACAACAGAAAGGAGGAATCTGGGAAAAGACAGAAAGGGGAGCAAATCCCTTTCTTTCACTCCTCCTCTTGGAATCCTGCATCCAGTTTTGCTCATCCCAATGTAAAAAAGATGCGGAGACTCTAGAAAGAGTGCAGAGAAGAGCAACAAAGAGGATTAGGGGACTGGAGGGTAAAACATATGAAGGAACTGGGTATGTCCAGTTTAATGAAAATAAGCATCAGGGGAGACATGATAGCAGTGTTCCAGTATCTCAGGGGCTGCCCCAAAGAAGAGGGAGTCAAGCTATTCTCCAAAGCACCTGAAGGCAGGTGCTATCTTTCTTTCTTTCTTTCTTTCTTTCTTTCTTTCTTTCTTTCTTTCTTTCTTTCTTTCTTTCTTTCTTTTTTTCTTTCATTTGATTTATATGCCGCCTTTCTCCGGAGACTCAGGAAAGAAGCAACTTAGAACTAAGGAGAAATTTCCCGACAGTCAAAACAATTAACCAGTGGAACAACTTGCCACCAGAAGTTGCAAATGCTCCAACACTGGAAGTTTCTAAGAAAATATTGGATAACCCTTGGTCTGAAGTGGTGTAGGATTTCCTGCCTAAGCAGGGGGTTGGACTAGAAGACCTCCAAGGTCCCTTCCAACTCTGTTATTCTGGTGGATTCCAAAGTTCCCTCCCTTTGAAAAGCTTCCTCAGTTCAGGATGAGCGAGTTAAAGAGTTTTGAAACCTCCGAGATAAGCAAAACCGGTGTGGGAAAAGGTATGAACTTGGCAACTCCTGGGAAAAAAAAAATAACTTGCTGTATGTCAGCCAAGCATCTTATGAAAGGACGCAAATAGCCAAAGTGGCCAAATAAAGACGCAAACGTGTGTGTGTGGGGGTGTCACCTCAGGGCCAGAGGCAGGATGTAGCATCCACAAGGATGCTTTGGGGACTTTTACAGATGAACAGAGTTGGAAGGGACCTGGTAGGTCATCTAGTCCAACCCCTAACGCCAGAGAAGCAACCTAGAACTAAGGAGAAATTTCCTGACAGTGAGAACTATTAACCAGTGGAACAACTTGCCTCCAGAAGTTGTAAATGCTCCAACACGGGAAGTTTTTTTTTTTTTAAGAAGAGATTGGATAACCATTTGTCTGAAGTGGCATAGACCTCCGAGGTCTCTTCCAACTCTGTTATTCTAAATCCAGCAGGAGATCCTGGCCTATACCATTTCTGGCAGATGGCAGTCCAGTCTCTTCTTGAAAACCTCCAGTGATGAAGCTCCCACAACTTCTGAAGGCAACTTCTGTTCCATGGGTTGGTTGTTCTCCCTGTCAGGAAATTTCTCCTTAGTTCTAGGTTGCTTCTCTGGCGTTGGGGGTTGGACGAGATGACCGACAAGATCCCTTCCAACTCTGTTCATCTGTAAGAGTCCCCAAAGCATCCTTGTGGATGCTACATCCTGCCTCTGGCACTGAGGTGACACCCACCCCCACGTTAACCTGCCTCCAGAATAGAATATAAAATAACAGAGTTGGAAGGGGCCTTGGAGATCTTCTAGTCCAATCCCCTGCTTAGGCAGGAAATCCTACACCACTTCAGACAAATGGTTATCCAACGTCTTCTTAAAAACTTCCAGTGTTGGAGCATTCACAACTTCTGGAGGCAAGTTGTTCCACGGATTAATTGTTCTCACTGTCAGGAAATTTCTCCTTAGTTCTAGGTTGCTTCTCTCCTTGATGAGTTTCCACCCATTGCTTCTTGTCCTACCCACAGGTGCTTTGGAGAATAGCTTGACTCCCTCTTCTTTGGGGCAGCCCCTGAGATATTGGAAGACTGCTATCCTGTCTCCCCTAGTCCTTCTTTTCATTAAACTAGACATACCCAGTTCCTGCAACCGTTCTTCGTATGTTATAGCCTCCAGTCCCCTAATCCTCTTGGTTGCTCTTCTCTGCACTCTTTCTAGAGTCTCCAAAGTCCATTGGAAAATTGGGTGCGTAGACTCGCAGCCGCTGCCTTCCTCTGGGCATTGGGGTTGAGTTCCAGGCATCTCCTTCCAACCTGGGGTTCAGCTCTTGGGTCCTTTCCAGCCCCCAACAAGGACCGAGTCCCTTTTAGCAGGAGATGGGAGGGCGTTTGCGTAAAGGCTTGGCAGCTCTGCTAGATTAAGGGGCCCACATTCCTGGTGGATTAGTCTGGCCTGGTCTCCTGTGAAGCAGAGACAGGCCAGAAAATTGGAATTAAGTGGATTTGCAGGTAGCAGCCCAGGGAGATATAGGCTGTGAAATCAGCAAAAAAAAAAAAAAAAAAGGAGCAGATTGCGAAAAAGAGCACAGAGGCCACTTAAATTTCCTTCAGGGGTTTCTTTATGGACCTGCTGCAAAACTGCGAATAGGCAGAGGATAAATAACTCTAACCGTTAATGAGCGATCTCCCCTTTTTTGGAACCTGAGGGAAACATGCTGAGAATGTCCTCTTCAGTTAAAAATATGCTAATTGGGGGCATTTCCCTCCCTCACATGCTCAGTTTCCCATGGAAATAATAGTTTCTCATCTCCCTCTCTCCCTCCCTCTCTTGTTCTCTCATTCTCATTCTCTATTCTCTGTCTCTCTCTGTCTCTGTCTCTCTCTCTGTGTCTTTCTCTTTGTCTCTCTCTCCGTCTCTCTTTGTCTCTCTGTCTTTCTGTGTCTCTGTCTCTGTCTCTCTCTCTGTCTTTCTGTCTCTGTCTCTCTGTGTGTGTGTCTCTCTCTGTGTCTTTCTCTCTGTCTCTCTCTCCATCTCTGTCTCTTTCTTTGTCTTTCTGTGTGTGTCTCTCTCTCTTTCTGTCTCTCTCTCTCTCTGTCTTTCTGTCTCTGTCTCTCTCTCTCTCTCTCTCCGTCTCTCTTTGTCTCTGTCTTTCTGTGTCTCTCTCTCTCTCTCTCTCTGTCTTTCTGTCTCTGTCTCTCTGTGTGTGTGTCTCTCTCTGTGTCTTTCTCTCTGTCTCTCTCTCCATCTCTGTCTCTTTCTTTGTCTTTGTCTCTCTCTCTCTCTCTCTCTCTCTCTCTCTCTGTCTTTCTGTCTCTGTCTCTGTGTCTTTCTCTCTGACTCTCTATCTCTCTCTGTGTCTCTGTCTGCCTCTCTCTCTCTGTTGCTCTGTCTCTCTCTATCTGTCTCTGTCTCTGTGTGTCTGTCTTTCTCTCTGTCTGTCTGTCTGTTGCTCTCTCTCTGTCTCTCTGTCTTTCTGTCTCTCTCTGTGTGTGTCTGTCTGTCTGTTTCTCTCTCTGTCTCTCTCTCATTTAGAGCAATGTTTCCTAACTTTGGCATCTTTCAGAGAAGTGGACTTCAACTCCCAAAATTTCCAGCCAGCTTTGGGCATTCCTGGAGTTGACGTCCACTCAGCGTAAAGTTGCTAAGGTTGAAAAACGCTGATTTAGAGATGGAAGGACACACCGTGCAGCCTTTAGAAAGCGTAGCATATATACAAACGAATCCATCCCTCTCTTTTTGTAACAAAGGTGTGAACTGCGATGTGGAGATCAACGAGTGTGAATCCGGTCCCTGTTGGCATGGTGGCACCTGCTCTGACCATATTGGCTTCTTCACCTGTTCCTGCCTGCCGGGCTACCAAGGAACCCAGTGCGAAGTGGATATTGATGAATGCCAAAGCCAGCCTTGTCTTAACGGAGCTATCTGTGAGGACCTGGTCAACAGGTGAGACCATTTCTGACAAATGGCAGTCCAGTCTCTTCTTGAAAGCCTCCAGGGATGAAGCTCCCACAACTTCTGAAGGCAACTTCTGTTCCATGGGTTGATTGTTCTCACGGTCAGCAAATTTCTCCTTTTTTCCAGGTTGAATCTCTCCTTGATCAGTTTCCATCCATTGCTCCTTGTCTGGCCTTCGGGTATTTGGAAAATAGATTGACCCCCTCCTCTCTATGGCAGCCCCTCAAATATTGGAAGACTGCTATCATGTCTCCCCTGGTCCTTCTCTTCACTTAGACTAGGAGTTGACCATCTCATTCTGGTCCTGACGGAGCAAGGGAGACACATCTCAAAATGTTGCAGAATGAAAGGTTCCTATTCAAGGTTTTAATTGGCCATTGCTTCAGTCCTCACTAGGTTGCCTTTCTTTCTAGACAGGGGGTCTTTCCCCATTTAGGACTTTTTTCCCTCCCAATGATTTTTTTTGGTATTTTCTCCAGCCTTTGGGATCCTTCCCTTGTGAAAAACATTTAAGAAGAGAGACTACTATTAGTATAGAGCAGGAGTGTCAAACTCGAGTCATCACGGCGGTGTCACATGACGTATCATAACTTTTCCTCCCTTCGCTAAACCGGGCGTGGGTGTGGCCAGTGCGTGACGCATCTAGCCCGCGGCCTGCAAATTTGACATCCATGGTATAGAGGATGCAACTGGGGTGCAATACACACACTATTGAGAGGACCATGTTATTTTAATGCTTCTGCCGTATCTTTGAGGAACAGAGGAGACAGTTGAGAAATAGCCAAAAGGAGATAGGGACCTGGGCATAAATTTTGGAAACTAGGCAGTGGAAGAGGGCAGAGGTGGGAGAAATATCTAGATTGAACAGCCAAGAAGTAGACACAGACAGAGATAAAGATCCAAGAATGAAATATGGGAGGCAAGTAAAAAAAAAGCATAGTGATTAAAGTATTGAAGCGGGCAAGAGATGATGGATAGATGATTTCTCCTTTTTTGTTGTTGTTCTGATTTGCTTTTCTTTTTCTCGCTCCTTCTTTCCTTTTTTTTAGATAAGTGACATGACTAGAAGCTAGGTAGGATAGAAAGAAAACGTTTTTTTTTAAATAAAGGGCGACATGATTAAAAGTTAGAATAAGAGATGGAAATGAGAGAAGGGGGCATACTAGTGTATACACTTTTATATAATAAAATAAAAGCAATAACAAGAGAAAACATAGACTAATTGAATAATGACAGAATGCAACTTAATCTAAATGTGTATTATTATTAGAAATATATAAGTTGGTTGAATGTAATAACTATGATTAATTCTACTACCCTGTTTCCCCCAAACTAAGACATCCCCTGATAATAAGCCCAATCGGACTTTTGAGCGCGTGGCAATAAGGCCAAGCGCTTATTTCAGGGTTCAAAAAAATATAAGACAGGGTCTTATTTTCGGGGAAACACGGTATCTATCTATCTATCTATCTATCTATCTATCTATCTATCTATCTATCTATCTACCTACCTACCTACCTATCCTGTTTTTCCCAAAATAAGACCTCCCCTGATAATAAGCCTGAGCGCATGGCAATAAGGCCAAGCGCTTATTTCAGGGTTCAAAAAAATATAAGACAGGGTCTTATTTTCGGGGAAACATGGTAGTTTTATTTATATTAGAATGCATGATACTCAGGTGCCACACTGTTCACGCATCGATGTTTGTAAAAAAAATTTAAAAAATTAAAAAGAAAGAAAGAAAGAAAAAGAAATAGCCAAGACGCTGTTAGCTAAAACACAGGGATGAAATTGACATGGGGCATTGACGACACCCACCATGGAAAAGAGAGGCTCTACTAAATCAGTCAGTCCCACTGTTTTCCCCCCCCCTCTTCCTTTCCTTCTTAGCTACCAGTGTGACTGTCACAACACGGGCTTCGAAGGACAACATTGCGAGACGGACATCCTGGAGTGTGCTTCGCAACCTTGTCAGAACGGAGCCCCGTGCTTGGAAGGAGCTGGATTTTACAACTGTTCTTGCTGGCCAGGTAAGCCAAATCCTTCCCTCGTCTTTTTTTGAATCCGGAACTGATTCTGTTTTAGAGCCATATTTTTAAAAACTTGGCAACGGCTGGGTGAGTGGGGGCTTGTGGAGGGGTGGGCTTCAAATAATTTAGCAAGGGGTGCTCTGCCGTGTTGCTGGGTGGGCGTGGCCATGGTGGGTGTGGCCTAGTTGGCCTCCTGCACCACGGCAGGCGGAGGGGGGTGTTTTTGCCCTTCCCGGCCTCCGAAGGCTTTCCTCGAGTCTCTGGGAGGGCGAAAACAGCCTCCCCAGGCTCCAGAGGCCCTCTGGAGGCCGAAAACGGGCCAAACGTTTGGTAGGCCCATTTTTCACCCTCCTCAAGCCTCTGCGCATGCCCTATACCAGTGATGGCTAATCTTTTTGCCGTTGTGTGCCAAAAGCGGGGGGAGTGCAGGGGGGGGTGTCGCACACATGCGCGCCCACACCCATAATTTCTTTCTTGGAGCCTGGGGAGGGTGAAAACGGCCTCCCCCTCCCCCCGGAGGCCCTCTGGAAGCCGGAAACGACCTGTTTCCCAACTTCCAGTGGGACCGGAAGGCCCGTTTTTCGCCCTCCCCAGGCTCCAGAGGCTTTCTAGGAGCCTGGGGAGGGCAAAAATGGCCTCGCCCTCCCCCCCGGAGGCCAGAAACAGCCTGTTTCCCAACTTCCGGTGGGCCCGGAAGGCCCGAAAATTAGCTGGCTGGCGTGCGCATGCGTGCTGGAGCTGAGCTAGGGCAACGCTCGTGTGCCCACCGATATGGCTCCGTGTGCCACCTGTGGCACGCGTGCCATAGGTTCACCATCACGGCCCTATACTCCAAAATGGGCCACATGGGGACTCCTGGGAGAGGCAGGGCAGGGTGGACGATGAGGGGCCAGCCAGGAGTGGGATTTGGGGGTTCTCCAAACTGCACAGAATCTTAGAGGTTCTTCCGAACCCCTGTGAACCCCCAGCAGCCTGGGCTTGTGGGGTTTCCCTATTTCTTAAAGAACACATTGATGGATTCCACTGGAAAGAACTTCTGGATTGTCCTTGCGTCAAACCGGTGCACTGACTCAAGCAAGAACCTAGTTGAATTGAGATGAGATCTTGCCTTCCCCTTCCAAAGTTCCTGCTTTCGCACATCTTCCGCCTCTTTGCTCTCTGACATTAGGATACGTGGGAACACACTGCGAAGAAGATCTAAACGAGTGCGCCACGCACCCCTGTCTCAACGATGGAGAGTGCTTCGAATTGTCCAATCAGAGCTACTACGGGAGACGGGAGGATTTCCCCGAGCGGTTTAGCTACGAAGAAGCCGCTGGTTTCATCTGCAGTTGTCATCCCGGTTTTGAAGGTGCGTCCTTTTCACTTGTTTGGGAATCCTGTGGGGGTCTACGGGGGGGATCAGCAATTGGCTGGCAGATTGAGAAACCAGGCTCTCTCCCCTCCCTTATTATTGCTTCAGCAGGAGTTTTCATGGGATAGAACCTGATTTTAGATCTTTATATACGTTGAGCTGATTTTTCATCCTATTCTATTCTATTCTATTCTATTTTTTTTATTTAAAAAGTTTTAACAATCATTACAACAATGGTAGAAGGGAGGGGGGGTTTTGGAGAGGAGGAGGAGGAATAAGGAGGAGGAGGAAGAAGAAGGAGGAAGGAGAAAGGAGGAGGAGGAGGAGGAGGAGGAGGAAGAGGAGGAGGAGGAGAAGAAGAAGAAGAGGAAGAAGAAGAAGAAGAAGAAGAAGAAGAAGAAGAAGAAGAAGAAGAAGAAGAAGAAGAAGAAGAAGAAGAAGAAGAAGATGACAATGACTGTGGGGTCCTTGGTCCTCTCTGTTTTCTTGTTGATGTTTCACCACCCAATTATGTGATTCCTTTAGCGCTAACCCTGATGACGTTACCTAGTTGGGCAATGAAATTCTCATCCTTGGCCTGTCGGTCTTCCTTCCATGGGATCCTTTCGGATGGTTAAACGTGCCTTTAAATGCTGCAGAAAAACAGAACGGGATTTTCAGTGGGGTGTGTGATTCCTGTATGTCAAGTTCATCAATTCAAGCCCGCTTGAGTTAGCGATTGATCGATCTTAAACAAAGAGAAAAAAATCAATGAGAAACATAGGGTTTTGACCGTGCTTTGCTTTCCTTTTTGAAAGGAGAAACCTGTTCCGTCGACATCGATGAATGTGAATCTCAACCGTGCGAGAACGGAGGGAGTTGTGTGGACTTGGTGAACAGCTATCATTGCGACTGCTTGCCCGGATATTCAGGTAAACGGATGAAGAACGGGAGAATGAAGGAGGAGAATGAAGAATGGGAGAGAATCTGAGGATGGTGAAGAGAGAAGGTCTTGTGGCCGGGAGGGGAGGGGGGGGCAGATTCTTATGGGGTCTTTATGTGACCAAAAGGTTTATTATCTCTTACGGCTTTTTTCACTTAGCTAATTTCCTTACCTAATTTCGAGCAGAGTGAATTCTGAACTTTAATATCAAAGTCAGATGGCTGAAGACGTTTTGGGACCAATAGGATGGGATAGGTTTAGATGGAATGGAATGGCATGGAATAGGAATAGGAATAGGAATAGGAATGGAATAATAGAATAGAATAGAATAGAATAGAATAGAATAGAATAGAATGGAATGGAATGGAATGGAATGGAATGGAATGGAATGGGAATGGGAATGGGAATAGGAATAGGAATAGGAATGGAATAGGAATGGAATAATAGAGTAGAATAGAATGGAATGGAATGGAATAGGAATAGGAATGGAATAGGAATGGAATAATAGAATAGAATAGAATAGAATGGAATGGAATGGAATGGGAATAGGAATAGGAATGGAATGGAATAGGAATGGAATAATAGAATATAATAGAATGGAATGGAATGGAATAGGAATAGGAATTGGAATGGAATGGAATAGGAATGGTATAATAGAATATAATAGAATGGAATGGAATGGAATAGGAATAGGAATTGGAATGGAATTGAATGGAATAATAGAATAGAATAGAATAGAATAGAATAGAATGGAATGGAATGGAATGGAATGGAATAATAGAATAGAATGGAATGGAATAGGAATAGGAATAGGAATAGGAATAGGAATGGAATGGAATAATAGAATAGAATGGAATGGAATGGAACGGAACGGAATGGAATAACAGAGTTGGAAGGGAGCTTGGAGGTCTTCTAGTCCAACCCCCTGCCTAGGCAGGAAACCCTACACCACGTCAGACAAATGGTTATCCAACCTCTTCTTAAAAACTTCCAGTGTTGGAGCATTCACAACTTCTGGAGGTAAGTTGTTTTTTCCCCAAAATGAACAAAAGAGGGACCTTGCCTCGTTTAGCCGTTCATAGTTCATTGAGAATATTCCATTCTATATGTAGCTCTGAAACACTGACTCTTGGGAATACTGCTTTCTAAAACATTACGAGGCTGCCATCTTGTGGGAAAGAGGAGAAATCTGAAACGTTAAGAAAACCTTTCTTAAATAGGAAGGACTTAAGCCTGCTCTGTTCGTGTCCCGGTCAGTTTCGCTTACCCGCAAACCAATGGGATGAATCCAGCTGAGATACTGCAGGACACATTTTCTGCTTGTCAGATAGACTATTTCAGCCTGTCCTCGTTTAGGAAGAGAGGATAGGGAGTCCTCGTTGAGCGACCGCCACTGGAACCAGCAATTCCGTTATTGAGTGAAACGGTCATTAGTTGAAACTGGGCTTACGATCTGACTACGGCTTTCCTTTCCTTTCCAACCCTGAAAAAGTTGTAAATGCGAGGATTAGCGGCGAAGTTACTTTTTCATCACCGTCGTAACTGCGAACGGTTGCTAAACAAGGACTACCTATGTTAGCGAATGCTCCTGTCGGCAGTATTTTTTAGGGATCGCCACGGGAGATGGAGGAGGAGGAGAAATAGATTTGCATTGTTTTTATATTCTCAATCTAAACAATGTTTAAGATACACGGACGTCAACTCCCATACCGGCTGGGGAATTCTGGGAATCAAAGTCCACAATGCTTGAGAAATCCTAGAAATTAGAGGGGTTGGATCAATCCTTGATGGTGTGATGGTGATTCTTCGTGGTGGTACGACACTTTGCGTCCTTCTAAGAGGAATCCATCAGTCAGTCAAAATAAGAGCTGGAAGGGACCTTGGCAGTGGTGAAATCCAAATTTTTTTTTTACTACCGGTTCTGTGGGCGTGGTGTGGCTTGGTGGGCGTGGCAGGGGAAGGATACTACAAAGTCTCCATTCCCACCCCACTCCAGGGGAATGATACTGCAAAATCCCCATTCCCTCCCCGCTCCTGAGGGAAGGATGTTGCAAAATCTCCATTTCCACCCCACTCTGGGGACAGCCAGAGGTGGTATTTGCCAGTTCTCCGAACTACTCAAAATTTCTGCTATCGGTTCTCCAGAACCTGTCAGAACCTGTTGGATTTCACCCTTGGACCTTGGAGGTCTTCTAGTCCCTACCCAGGCAGAAGACTCTCTACCATTTCAGACAGGTGGCTTGTCCATTCTCTTCTTAGAAACCTCCGATGATGAAGCACCTACAACTTCTGGTAGCAAGCTGTCCCACCGGTTGATTGTCCTCACAGTTAGGAAGTTTCTCCTTAGTTCCAGGTTGCTTCTCTCTTTGGTTAGTTTCCATCCGTTGCTTCTTGACTTGCCTTCTGCTGTTTTGTAGAATAGTTTGACCCCCTCTTCTTTGGGGCAGCCCCTCAAATACCGGAATTCTGCTACCATGTCTCCCTTAGTTCTTCTTTTCCCTAGACTAGCTAGACCCAATTTCCTGCAACCGTTCTTCATGGGTTTTTGGTGTCTCCAGGCCTTTAATCATCTTAGTTGCTCTTCTTTGCACATTTTCCTCAGTCTCAACATCGATAGGAAGGGAGGGCCCACTGTTAGGGCCCAGTCTGATGGCACAAAGTCAAATACTGGATGGATTTAGTTGGCCCTGCTAAGGATAGTTTTCCCAGCCAGCTGGCTTCAGCTTGCTACTCTCCGGGCCTCCGGGCTTCCCCTTACATTCCCAGTCATAAGACGGAAGGGAGGGCACCGAAGACCCAGCAGGCTCTCCTGCAGTAAGGCCCATCTCCCACTCCCCTTGCAGGGGAGGGCGGCAGTAGGCAAAACATCTTGTCGGCTGGGATGGAAGCCAGCTGGGAAGATTTAGAGCTGAGATGGATTAGATCTCAGCAGCCGCTGCAAGGGCAGGAGTCCTCCTTTTGCGCTTGGCTTCGTCTCCGAAGAGGCCCGTTGTGTGCCTGGCACCCAGAAGCGAAACAAACTGAGTTGCAGTCCAATCCAGCTCTGCCTCAGACCCTTCCCACGTTTCCTCTTGGGACCACCCCCCATGCCGGCAGGGGAATGGCCATGAACCCTCTGTTGGCTGGCATCTTCCTGGGTGGATTTTCTCATCTCCTGGCAGGTAATGACCAAGCAACCTCGACTCTTTCTCTTGTGGTTGTGGGTCTGTGGATTCCTCTGTGTGTGTGTGTGTCTTCTGTATGGATCAGTGAGCAACGCTTCTTGTTTTGGGATAGTTTTCTGCAGGGGGGGCATCTCTGCTACCCCCTTGGAAGGCAAAAGTGTTCAGCTTCACACTCAAATGTGAACTTTTGAGCTTCTTCTTCTTCTTCTGTTCAGGCCAGTCCTGGGAAGAAAACTCCAGACTGTGAAAATTGTGTGTCTCCTGGAGAGGGGGGACAAATCCATGATCTTCTAAAAGAAGCCAGATTTCTCTCCAGTTAATGCCTATAGAAGGTATCCGAATGAGAAGGTGAAATAAAGATGGAAGTATGCATGGATGGACGGATAGACAGATGATAAATAGAGATATTGATGATTGAGATAGATGAGAAGAGAGAGAGAGAGAGAGAGATGATAGGTATTAATGATTGAGATAGATAGATAGATAGATAGATAGATAGATAGATAGATAGAGAGATAGATAGATAGATAGATAGATAGATAGATAGGGATGGATAGCTAGCTAGCTAGAGATATTGATGATTGAGATAGATGAGAGAGAGAAAGAGGATAGATTTTGATGATTGAGATAGATAGATAGATAGATAGATAGATAGATAGATAGATAGATAGACAGACAGACAGACAGACAGATAGACAGACAGACAGACATGGATAGATATAGAGATGATGATAGATGATAGATAAATAGATAGATAGATATAGATGGATAGGAATGAGAGAAGATAAATAGTCAGATAGATGATATATATATATTTAGTTTTTTAGCTTTTAAATTGTCAATGGGTTTTAATTTGAATTGTTTTAAATTTGGACCAAAGTTATGTAATTCTTTTAATAATTTTAAATTTTGTATTGGTATGTGTTTTAGTTCTGGCTGTGCACCGCCCTGAGTCCACTAGGAGAAGGGCGGTATACAAATTGAATAAAATAAATAAATAAATAAATAATATAGCTAGATTGATAGATAGATATAGAGATGATGATCGATAGACAGATGATAGATAGGAATGAGAAAAGATAGTCAGATAGATGATAGATAGATAGATAGATAGATAGATAGATAGATAGATGATAGATAGATGATATACAGATGATGATAGATGATAGGCAGACAGATGATAGATAGAAATGAGAGAAGATAGAGTCAGATAGATTGATAGATAGATGATGTAGAGATGATAATAGATAGACAGACAGACAGACAGACCAAATTGTGCCCCACTTCTTCATCAAAAGAAGATTGATAAGCTTGAAAATAAGAACAAGGAGCGTACCTCACTAGGAAGTTTAGTGAAGAGGGGAAACTTTATGGAGAATGTTTGAGATGTTAAAATATGCAAAAATGAGTAGAACGGTAATAATCTCTGTAAGCAATGACTATTCGCTAAAAGATACAAATAAAGGACTTGTGTACGTTTTGTGAAAATGAGGGTTGGGGTATTCAGGATAAACTTTGGGAAGCTAAAGGCAGATTCTTAAATGCAAGAAGAAATCAGGTCAAGAACGAATGCCATTCATCCAAAGGAAAGGTGGATCGAATAGAAAAACAATGCACCAGGACAATACAAAGTATGTCGAGTTTGGGGGGGCTCACAGAAAGAGAATGAATAAGGATTGGTTCCTAAAATAAATATACAAAAAAGGGGGAATTTGGCTGAGAGGGAAGCAGGAGATAAAGGAATCCAAGATAAGGAGGTGAAAAGAATGCAGAGATGGTTGGCCACGATAGAAAAAAGCATAAACCGCGTTGGTATAAACTATTT